ACCGAGTGGGTGAGATGATTACCTTGGGTAAAAAGTTAGGATGGTGTATGTACTATACATTAAATTGACTCATTCACCCCAATGCATCTTCCATCCTGAGGCTCCTGTGAAGAAGTTATATATTCTCGGTCAAAAAACGTTCCTAAGCACCATCTTGAGCTTGCAAACTCGGCTAACATGCTTATGCCCTTTAGCCCTCAATGTTGAAATAAAGTTTAGGCCTTCAACTGCATTATCACCCCCCAAGCATGTAAAGGCATACATAGCATAATGCCACTGAAGATCGAAAACACAGTGTTCAATCCACACCTCTTACCGATCCACCGAAATATTGTCTTATTTATAAGAAGGAGATGCTGGATAGAGCTTGATCTTCCATACCACCACTTTTATCGTAATCATAAAGTTTTGCGGACGGACAGATAGACAAAGCGACAAACAGACACACCAACGCACCTACACACCAAGTTACTGCTTTATAAATAAGAGTCATAGCATTGCGATGTACTATGTGACATGCCGGCTTCAAGAAGACAGAACGTGGAAACCAAGTTACGTCTCCTAACATGGTACTGGAATCAATCAGTGATTAATCTTCTCCTCTGACCAAAATTGGGGTTTTTCCAAGCATGCCACTACCAAGGCAAAGAGAAGGAAGGTCAGTTTTTGCTTCCGGTGAACAAGAGCTCTATGTATCGCAATTCATTCCTCAACAGTCACCTTCACGTGTAGGACTGACGGATGAGCGTGCAGGATTTTTAGCAATCAAAAATTCATGAAACTGTACAGCTTCTATGAAAGTAAGATTCGCTTGTGCATATAATCTTTACACCTTATCATCTAGCCGAATCGCGACTTACATTGATCTCTTTTGCAGCTGAGTTTTCTTTTTCTCTGACAGCAGACCCTAGAATTCGGTGTTTTCGGAAAAAGGATTACGGCGCAAAATAGATGTGATTAACAAGTAGAAGGCATTTTTTTGTGGATAACGTATAAAGGGCTGATTGGCATAAAACTGTAAAAGAATTGAGGCAGAAATAGGTTGAATTGAAAAGTTCGTTTGACAATCACGTACTCGGTTGATGAACGAATCCTGGGCATTTTCCTAGAAGGTGAAATGAGGTGTTCAATGATGTCAATATTAATCTTTCCAAAAAAGATACAGCCTCCGAATTGATTTGAATAGGGATTTCCAGGAGAAGAGAACAACCTGAATCTAGAGAAGAAGAATCTTTGATTCCTCGAGAAAGGGAGGCAGCCCGATAAAGGTCACGGAGAGAAATTGAGACTGCTAAAGAAACGAAAGGCCAAGCAGAGAACGATAAGGCGTGCACAAGAACCGCAAGGGCGAAGTCGTTTCGCCAACGGCAAGACGCTGAAAGAGCGAGAGTACGAAGGCAAGAGATAAACATCGAGATGCGCGCTTCGCACAGGATTCCGAGAAAGCTCGAAACGGAAGGCAGCTGGAATATGATGAGCAGAGAGAAACACGTTCGGCAGACAGTGTTGAAAGAGTTTGGGCTGGAAGACTGCAGGAGCATAGTGAGCAGAGAGAAAGGCACTTAGCGGGGATGCCGAAAGTGCTTGAATCAGAAGAGATGATGTGCAGAGAGGAACGCATTAGTCAGACACTGCTAAAAGAGGTCGGTTTAGAAGACTGCGGGAGAATAATGAGCACAGGGAAGCACGACCAGCAGGGGGAGCCGGGAGAACACGGACTAGGAGACGATCAGAGATTGAGTCGCAAGGAGATACTAGGTTGGCACAGGAAGTAAAAAAAAATCTAGGACTCGGAAGCAGCAAGAAGACGAACAAACTCGAGAGTTATGCCAAGCAGAAGATGCCATGAGAGCAAGTTTACGCAGAGATTAAGGAGATGATGAGACGCGACAAAAGCGTGCGCAGAGTCGCTTCAGCAGAGGGATCGTATCCGGAGAAGCCGCATGAGATTAGCAAAAGCAAAACTTGGAAGCGAGCGATATCACACTCGCTGAAGAATCATTTCAGCTCAGTCACGACGATTAGCGACAGCGTCACTCATTCTGCAGCCGGGTGAGCACTGCGATAGATTTATGAACATCATACGAAAGCTGTGGAGCAAAGAATTTCGGATCTGACTCCAAGGATAAGGGAACTTTTAGTGACTGCTGCAAACTTGGTAACATCAGTGTACGGCACTTCACTAGCTATCTCCGCAAACTGCTTGCACCGCGGTACCCTGATGCGAAAAAACTCTTGAACATATTCGCAACTACAACAGCGACTTCGCATTCGCTTTCATGGGCGCACAGCTGGGTACGCCACTCGGACATGGTCCTTACTGTTTTCGCATTCACGGTCAGATTTACCATAGAATAGGACCTGCGCACGAAAGTGTTCAACCTTACACCTCGCTAGGGCCAAGTCTATATTTATACACCTCAATGGCAGCAGTGGAAAGAATGAGAGATCCAGCGAGCACAAATTGTAACCCACGGCTCATCGATTCATTGCGTGCATTTCTACAGCAAAGTAATGCCTCTCCTCAGGGGTACAAAATGCTGAATGAGGTGGTATTGGAGCAAGTTTTACGTGCAGCTAGGACGGAAGATCAGAGAAATCTGTGAGAATGGTGTCTAAAAAGCTTACGAATGTAGATCGACGTTGATATTATGTACCAATAGCCAACGAACGATACATTGGAGACTATGAATATGTACCTGCTGAGCATAACTTTGCAGTGGGGTGTGGGAACTGCGTTACGACTCGCGTCGAGGTGCAAAGTGACCTCAATTGTAACTAACATTATCTTAATTACGCGNGGAAGATCAGAGAAATCTGTGAGAATGGTGTCTAAAAAGCTTACGAATGTAGATCGACGTTGATATTATGTACCAATAGCCAACGAAGTTGCTGTGATATACATTGGAGACTATGGATATGTACCTGCCGAGCATAACTTTGCAGTGGGGTGTGGGAACTGCGTTACGACTCGCGTCGAGGTGCGAAGTGACCTCAATTGTAACTAACATTATCTTAATTACGCGCCTCATCCCGATTGTAACTAACCCCATCCTAGTTATGATGGTGATGGCGAATGATGGAAATGATGAGAAAGTGAAACTTCAAGAAAACTGGTTTTTTGACGTAAATTTTCATCGTCCTCGGTTTAAAGTTTTATTACCATGCAAGGTAATAAAAATAATAGATAATAGATAGATAAAAACAATCATTGAACAACTCCGATGGCCTTGTTCTTAACGAATCCGGACATCCTTATGACTCCTCAATTTGGATGCGATTTGCTTCTCTCCGATGAACTTTGTCGAAGCAGTTGGGTAGGTGCAGATGTGGCAAGTACAAGGGTTGCGGTGCGAGTTGGAGCGGCTGGGTAGATGCAAAGTATTATAGAGCGAAGGCTAAGATTCTAAGCAAGTTTCTAGCTGATGAAGTAGCTGATGAATAGTTTCTTCAATGTGCTGAATTTAGCCTGAAGTATTGTAGTGTTCCGTGAGAAGTGTGAAATGACCTAACTGATCAGCCGGAGGGCATTCAGTGACTTTTCAAACACGGGATGCCCTAATATCAAACAACTACGTCGCTTCTGTAAACGTTGTTTGATATCACAGATGAGCGAAAATTCGAAAAAAAAGACCAAAGGAGTGTTTTTTACATCTTACACATATTTCATTTTTACGGCTATAGAATTTTTCTATTCTTTATGGTGATAAGACTTTAACCAAAGACCATGAGAAATTTTACATTGAAAAACAAATTTTCTTGAAGTTTCATTTTCTCATCATTCTCATTAGTAAGATGAGGTTAGTTACGATCGAGGTGAGGCGCGTATTAAGTTAGCTACGATTGAGATCACTTCGCACCTCGACGCGAATTGATCTCAGTCATAACTAAGTTCGCCCACCCCCTCGCAGTGCACCTAAGAGAGGGGCTGCGATCTATCCGAGTAGCTGAACCAGAATGCGATCCTTCGACCTGTCCAGTCCTCTTTCTGCATGGAGAAATAAGATGACATCCGAATATGCTGGAGAGTCCATCGGAAAGCCGTCGTGCCAGAGTAACCCAGAAGGGTACAACTCCAACATAATAGCTTTCAGGGATGAATTCAATCTTCTTCCTTTGCTAGAAACTATCAGCAATTTTTGGTGGGCAGCTACGTCAAGATGGAGCAGAATCGACTGAATTACGACCGTACCCATCAATCTGAACTCTGAGTCGACAGCTACAGAGACCTCTGGCTACACGGCAGGTGACAACGATACTACACGTCCACAAGGTGTCAGGCGTGTTATACTGTCTTCTTTGTTTCAGGATCAGCCCGTTCGATCCCAGGCAGGGTTGTTTGAAGGACTATCAGCTTTTCAGTTGATATCAAAAAAGAAACGAAACGTACATGAGTATCCCTAACGACCATCAACTCAGGGTTCTTTTGAAGAATTCCGGTTCTTTCAGACCTAAAGACATCTCAGCTTCTGGCTACCCTTGGTGATGAGGTGAGGGGAGGTTTCAGGAGTAGAGAAGTACCGGTGTAGGTAAGATGATTACCCCACTCAAAAATTGAACTTTCAATTGGCTCATTCATCGCGGTACCCCGTCTTGGGTACGAGAAAGCTTTCACGATCGAGGAACGTTTCTATGTACCATTATGAGCTCGCGAAGTCGGNTTGAGAACGTTGGATATATTTTTTCTTTTCTCTTGTGTAGGTTTTACCCCTGAGAATAACCCTGCACTCCCAGCAGCTTGTGCTTTCTTCATTGTCTTGCATGGAAATTTCCGCTTTATGCTAGTGGTTTTCTTTCAGTTGCTAAGTTCTAGCAAGGAAATAGTTCACAACTTTTACAAGCTGTCAGTTTATAGAAGTTGTGAGTCTTTTCCTTGCTCAAAACTGTATCGGATGATCAATAAACTGAGTAGATAGTAGAAAATAGATACACGATAAATGAGTTATCTCAGCTTTAGCCAATGCTCGTTGTCCACCGTTACTTCAAATTTTTTTGTAGGTATGTCGACTTTAACGAACAGCGATACAGTTATGAAAAAAAAGCGTACGCTTCAAGATCGTGAAATAAAAAAAGTTCGAAAAAGTTCACGTTCGGAGGATGGTATCAAAGAATTGCGAGATTCGGAAACCTTCGAGGAAGAGGCTGATGAATACGACTACGACTCATCCGATGAGGAGGTGGATGCAAACATAGCTTCGCGAACACTGCGTATTGGTTTTCCCTTTGTTCGAAGGGTCACGTATTAACATGTCTTATTTAGGATCTTCGAAATACTATAGGAAACATCCCGATAAGTTGGTACGACGAAGAAACTCATATTGGATATAATCAGCAAGGGGAGAAGATAGCAAAGCCGAAAAAAAAGACCGAGATTGACACATTCCTTGAAAAGATGGAAGATTCCGATTACTGGTACGTTAAGCCGCCTCTCTTAGTCTGTAATCTCGAGCGGTTCTACAATAAAATGAGCTGATCTTTTGTTTGTATATCCCAAGCCAGAAACACTTACCTTTCCTTTTGATTAACATTCTGTCCTGATGTAATGTCAGATTTAGGCGAAAAGTATTTGACCGTCAGTCTGGGACTGATATTGTACTTACCGATGAACAGGTACGTCATGTCTCTCTTATCCTTTTTCGTGACTGGATTGTTTTTTGGAAGCAGCTCCTTATATTTTGTAAATTATGGCGAGGGCTAATGCCAATTGCTCAATTGGGACTGCAGCGAATGTTATGCGCTTGCATTATCAGATATTTCCGAAGCGTTTTTTTGTTGCTAGGACTATACCTGTGAGAAGAAGTCTATCTATCATTGGGATGAGCTTAAAAATCTTCACAGTTGTACTTCTTGAATACATTATAAGTGCGGTGGTTTATCACCGGGATTTTTTCCCGAACTAATTCTACATTTTTTAGGTCGAAAAGCTCACCAACCTCGCCTCAGGAAAATATCCCATAATTGGATATAATCCCTGTGAGCCGTTTTTGGACATATTTTCATCGGAGAGGACCATTCATCCGATTGACAATAGGTTCGTCTATGTCTAAGTATTTTTAGTACTTTCTGCCCGGGTTTCTTGCTCTCCCATGAGTAAAAAAGATGTGAGTGCATGTCTATGGTTTTGACTGACTACTTCTTGATTTATAGTAGCGTTTCACTTTGATCCTCCCTGTATTGTATTCAGACCAGATCCAAAATCACGTTTTATTCCATCAAAGGACGAAATGCTTATCGTAAGCCGTATGGTTCATGCCATCAAAATGGGAAGAGCTAAAGGAACTAAACAAAAGTCCGAGCGAAAGGTTGTTGTAGTTTGAAAAGATGTCAATTTATTCATAATCGGATCCCAATCCTTCCTTCCGGCAGATATACGATCTCTGGGCTGCTGAGGATTCTATGGACCACAAGACCAAATCGGAATTAGCTCGTATGAGGATGCATATGCCAGCTCCAAAGGTTAACCCTTCTTCTTGGAATTCGTGCGCGAATGATTCTTTCTTGAAGTTTTTGATGTTTCACTTTTCTAATCTTCTCTTCACACTTTTTCATTCCATGAGGTTTCCCTCCCATTTGCTTCTTCCTCTAGCGAAGAAGCAACGTTCGCTAGTACGAATAGCAGAATTGCCCAACGCTTTCGCACCCCACGGCAAAATGGATTATCAGGCCACGGATGCTTCAGTTTCAGAAATATTTTCTTAACCGATAGCGATTTTTTTTAAAAAGTTGGGCGCTGCACTTCATAATTGGAATGACCTTTTGAGCGGCAAACCATACAGAGATAACTGCTCAAAGCAGTCTGATGGCTGTTTGCCCCGCATTCCGAGTACATTATTTGGTTAAATTTGGCTAACTCAAGTGAAAGTGTTATCAGAGCATCATGTAATAAGCAGGATGCTGCTAGAATCATTTCCGCAGTTTGTTAATTGCCAGGTTCTGTATATACACATTCAGATGCCACTTCCAGTGCATGCTGAGTCGTACAATCCACCTGAAGAGTACCTGTTCGATGAGGGAGAGAAACGGAAGTTAGTATTCTGTCACGTTCGATGCCTTTCTCTTCCCATTGAAAGTCCTTTTCACTGATTTTCGGAACAGCTTGTGAAGTCTCTCATGTCTTGAGTCGAATACTGCCCAGTTGTGAAAACAGTTCAAAATTGTAGGCGATTCGGGTTCACTCTAGTATGGTTTCACAAATTTACTTTACATCTTTTCCTTTCGTCGTCGATAATAATGTTAGTTCAGATTGGAGGAAACAATACCAGATGATCAGCGGTTACAGTTTATTCCCCAGAAGTACGACGCTTTGAGGAAAGTGGGTGTAACACTGTAACGAGCTTTGGAATTCTCGCCCTGAAAAAATATTTTGGCGGTTACAGGTCCCTCAGTACGATAAATTCTTAACCGAACGTTTTGAACGTTGCCTTGATCTCTACTTGGCTCCAAGAAAAATAAAAATGAAGGTCTATTTCGAATCGTTTTTCCTCTTTCTCTCGATCTTTAATCCATCGTCATTTTTTTATGTGAAAGTTGTTGCCTTTTTCAGCTGCAAGTCAACCCCTCAGAGCTTCTTCCCGATTTGCCGAATCCGAATGATCTCAGACCATTCCCGACAACATTAGCCTTTGTAGGTTTTAATGGGACCCTTAATGTATTTATTTGGCTTGTCACTTGAAGTTTCTTCTTATTGTCGGCTAAATAAAAATGGAGTCAACTAAATTGTATAGCTTACTGCTGTCATATGTTGTATTTTACAGTATATGCACGGACATGCCGGTCAGGTGCGGTCAGTAAGTGTCGAACCAGATCGCGGCGAGCTGCTAGTTTCGGGAGGAGCAGATGGCACCGTTCGGCTGTGGATGATGGTATCTGGTCGCTGCATAAAGGTTCTAGTTCAAGAGGCTGACTATTATACTTTCTACCAGGAGAAGTACCAATCGAATTA